GTGTGTGTGTGTGAGAGAGAGTGTGTGTGTGTGTTGATGTTACCGTGCTTCTGCCCACTTGATGTCCATTGGGCTCGAGGTCGACGCCCTGCAGGAACTGTCTGATTCCCGTCTGAGAGGTGTGAAAGCCCGCCGGTAACAGCACACGGAAATGATGGGCAAAATCCTGAAGAAACACATCAGGAATTCAGGAAAGTGGTTCATGTGTCAGTGTTTCCTATGAAATCAGTTTTATTTTTTCCCAAATTCTTTATTTTTTCTATTTAATTTATCTGAATTTTATTTTACTTATTCTTAAGTTAAATTTTAGTAATCAAAAACCATGTCTAATTAATTTAAATCATAAAAATACACAATTTAACAACAATTTACTGAACGTTTTAGAAAATTTTTATTTTAGGGCCCTATTAAATATGTAAAAAAAAAAAAAAAAACACAATTCCCAATTTTTTTTTTTTTTGGATTCTGTTTTAATGCTTTAATGACATTTTTGTAATCAAAAAGCATGTATAATTAACTGAAATCATGAAACTTTCACAATTTAATATATTATTAAAATTTTTACAATAAAGGGCCCTATGATTGATTGATTAATTAATTGATTGATTTTTCAGAATTTTTGTGTTGTCTGTTTTAATTTTCTATAATATATAACTTTATACAAGTTTATATTATTATCAAAAAGGTCATATTAATTGATGTGAAGTAATTGTAACGGTAGTATTATAGTTGAGTTTGTCACCTGGAAGCTGTATTTGACGCTGTATCCGGAGCGCCGTATCCGCACCGTCTCCAGCATGCCGCTGTAACGTAACTGTCTCAACACCAGCACGTCGCTGAAACGCAGAGGAAGCTACGAAAGAAAGACGGGACTCAAACGCACGTCTAAATCCAGTAACGCAGAAACAGAAACGTGACTCATTACGAACCTTTTCCGCATTAGAGCGGATGCATTTCACAAAGTACGGCTCCGACTGTCCCAGAGTCTCCATCAGCTTATTCAGAGACACCTGCATCACACACAGGACAGGATTTCAGCTTATCATCTTATGTATTTTGTAAAAAGTACACTTTAAGTAATTTTTGCATTTTTAAAATGTATACAATTTTTAAACAATTACTGTATATATTTCAAAATATATATATTTTTTTAATCATTA